AGGCCTACTTGAATTTCTAGTTTTGACACAATCATACACGGCACTACTGTGTAGTGATATGCCTTTTCACCGGATTCCAGGGTTGTATATAAAATATTAAAAGGTTAATTACGGTATATTGCACTATGGTTTAAAGAATACGTCAAATGTATTAACACCGAGACGCAGTATATCTGTGACTGCTGCACACACGCGCGTTCCCTGTGCAAACTTTATATAAGGTTTCGTAAAATAGCACCAAAAGCTTTTGCTTTCACCCTACCAAGGCAGACACGTAAACTGTCCCGACCTTCCATTTTTGCATATTTTCAGCACCATTAATATGTTCATTTTTAAATATAATCTAGCCTTAAGTTAAAAAAAAGCAGTAAAAACGCCGGACTGCGCCCGCGGTCCGATCCCAGGAAGGAAAAGTGGAGCATTTGCATCAGAAGCGAACTAACCGCTGAGCAAAGCCGGCGCAAGAAAAGCTCCCGGAATACTTACCTTTCAACACGGGCGTCGCAAAGGCTGCTTTCGGGTTTTCGACTACGGCAAGTATATTGCTTTTCTTTTCTAGAACGTTTTTACCCCTAAATACTTAAATTTCAAGTTTTGATACAATAATATACGGCACTACTGATAAAATCTGGAACATAACTGGATTTGGTCTGGGGGCCCTAATTGATACCCTTTCATGGGGCCTAAAATCTAAAATGTTTACATGTGCAAAAGTATGAATAACAATGGAATCAACTTAACACACCCAACAGATATAAAAGTGTGAGCACCTATGGTGTCATGACCTGCTTGTCCGATACTTCTGTGTGCCAGGCCCCCCTCGTTACCTCGTGTTACTTCCTGATTGTGATCACCTGTTGCCTGTTATTTTCCTCTTGTCCTGTGTATTTAGTCCGCGCCTGAGTCCGTTTTCCCCAGATCTGTCATTGATGTTCGTCGCCGTCTGCCTTGTTAGGCCCTGTGTTTCCCCTAATAAACCCACGTATCCTGCATCCTGGCCTGCCTGACTCATCCTTCCCCGCTTCCTGCCTGTTCGCCTAGTACTGGTTCTGTGTGCTGATTTTCAATGTACCTTCCTTGCAAGGGGCTGGCTGAAAGCATTTATGCCCACAGCCATATATGCTAATGATTCTGTACCAGGATGAAACCTGCAACATCCCGGTCTGCTACAAAGCTGGAACCAGCCTCAACACCAGTGAGGTATTGTATGTCATATGAGTAGTACCATTAAATCCATTTATGCACCCATAGCACTTATCCAGTATAGGGTTATGATGAGCTTATACCAGTAATAAAAATAACTATAAAAACATTAAAGACAACTATAATTATATACTCAGTGGCCACTGTGATCTCATAATTATTGTCATTGTTATAACTGTATAACTGGGTCGAGACGAGGAGGCGGAGCCAAGTTGCAGTCGGCGAATGATGACAGAGTCGGGAGGGACGGAGGACTTCAGGGACACATTCCAAAAACACGGCACGTAACAATATGCAATGCCATAATAATACCATTTGTTTATTCAGTTTATTCTGCATCTGTGTGCACTGGCATTCACTCACAAGTAGAAAACTGGACTGCTGGCTAATGACTGCAATTTTAAATAACTTTGTTTTTGTATCTGCACAGCAGAAACTTCAGAAGTGAGACAAACATTACAGCAGCACACGCAAATCCTGCTTATACTGAGCAATGCAAATGACGGTGGGTCTGGACCCCAAAGGCACTGTCCCCTGACACATCCCATGGAACCCTAACCCTTTCACACACCCACATCCCTAAACAGCACTCACAAATTTACAAGCTTAATAGTAAGATTGCTCTAGATAGTTTTGCATGTAAAATAAATTCCATATGTGTTACGCTTTTCATCACATTGTGAAATCCATCTGAATCGTGTGAATTAGTTGTTTCTGTTACTTATCATAAATGCCATCTATTCACGTAACTGTGATATTAAAGCAGACTGTTATTGCTGTGTTTTTACAGAAGTAACATTCATACTGCATTACACAAATATAAAACAGAGTATAATTTCTATGAATTCACATTAATAAATCTATACTGCCAAGCACTTTAAACTGAATAACTGTAACAGCCTAAATGAGCTACCTAACTGGCACTCCACTGGCAAATAAAACAACATGAGGATTTTGTTGGCTAAGCAGTTTGTGTACACACACATATATCTGATACTGTAGGCGAGAGGTGCAAGCAGACACAGTGGTCATGGCAGTGGCAGCTTCAGACAGAGGAATTACCTTCATCCTTTTACTCTACATCCTTATTAAAGGCAAAGATCATTTGCTGTGATTTCAGACCCACACCTCACACCTCTCAACGCCTACACTTATATTACTGGTTGGGCCATTAATAACTCATCACTGTGCCCAGTCCTTCGTGCTCACTTATTCTTATCTTCCCATGCTCCATCCTCAATCTTTGGGTTCAGGGTCTAGTTCAGGAAAAAACTGTCTCCACTGCTTCTTCTTTACAAAGAACTGTCATCTTGTTTCGATAGCCGAAGCACATTTTTAGTCTGTACTGCAAAAGCTGGGTGCTCACTGGAAGACATGGATAAAGACATCCACTGTGATAATGCCTCAATACTTCATTTATGCACAGCTCGGTCATATATGACAAATTTAAAAAATGCTCGATTTAACCTTAACTGAAAACGCTTCTTGGACACACAACTACACACAGACAAACAGGACCATTTGGGCTGGCAATATGATTTACATACAGGAAAACACTGACTAATACTGTAATGATATCAGGCCTCTTTAGTGCCAAGCACTGGCAGACAGCAAAAGTTAGTTCCCCTTATCCATACAACACTAGTTGTGGGCACAAAAAAAGCACAACATCAATCAGCATCAGCTTATGTAAATTAAGCACTAACGTTATGACCCTAACCTGCCTCATTTGTCTTCTTAATGAGACCAGCTGTTAAAATATAGCTTATATGGGGTAGTGTTTCATCATACTTCCATCATTACTGGCCCGAAGGGTTTTCTTTAATTTCATGAGGCTCAAAGAAGATCCCCCTAAAGTACAGTGTGATGGGTGTAAATTGAGTATGTCAGCACATATTCTGGAGGAAGGATTATTAACGGCAATTTTAAAGTTCACTCACTGCTTGGGCATCGTATCGCTCTTGAGGATGTATCACTTTTTTAACCTGATCAGACAAGTTATTGGGCAGTGCTTGAAGCTTAAACTAAGAATAGTATACCACCAGTGTTAGCGCCCTTAATGGCATGTTTATATTAAAAATTGTTATTAAAGTAAAACATATGCATACATAACTACCCTAGCCTCCATAATTATTAAGAGAACGATCCCAGCTCATATCACATTCAACATTCCCTCCACTTTGGATCAATAACAGTTTGCCTACAGATCATTTTACTAAGCGGTGACATGGTGACACAGTGGTCAGCAATACCGCCTCACCACTCTGAGGGTAGGGTTCAAGTCTTTGCCCTGGCCCCATGGGTATGCAGTTTGCATGTAGTCCCCATGTTGTTGTGGGGGTTTTCCCCAACAGTTCTAAAACAAGAAAGAGTGGGCAAATATTGCCAGGTCAAGATGTGGCATGCTGATAGACTCCTACCCAAAAAGACTGAATGTAGTAATTGAATCAAAAGGTGCTTCGACAAAGTATGTTTATGGGTGTGCACACTTATGCAACAGCTTATTGTACATTTTTAATTTTTGATATTTTTCCCCTTAATAGGTTTATATGTTAAAGAAGATAGGATAACCCAGAAAGAAGGTACGTCCACGCACATTCGAGCTTGTTCATGCTGTCGGACATAGAGTCGAGCCATTTCAGGATGCGATCGAGATCAACATATGGCTCAGGGCATTCGGTGTGCCTCTCTGTAGTCTCCATCTGGAATACAGTAACACAAAGGCAAAGAGCCAATGTATTTCTTGACAGAAATAGCACTGCGACAGTTTGTGTTGGTGAGAACTAGGCTTTAGATATAAGTGGGTAATATAACGGCAGTTTCAGTGGTAGTCTGTTTGAACAAGCGATTTTCACAGTTTCTTGAAGAGAACAAATTCTGTGCATCTGAATAGACCATACACAAGGGCACAATAAACAATTTATTGACCATAAGAAGATTACAAAACAGTACTACAAGTCAATTCCCACTACCAACAGATGAACATTGTGTATAATGAATGCCTTCCATACACTTGGGTATAACACACCATATTACCATTAGCAATGTTACAAATACAACTGATACAAAGGAGGATTCTGAAGTGCTGAACTTTCTGATGTGCAAGTCAGCATGACACTAAATTTCAACACAGGGTCTAACTGACATAACTACAGCCCAGTGTCTTGAGATTGGTTCTCTGTATAACCTGCAACAGGCTGCAAACAGCCACTGTTCATTACAGCCTTGCATTTTAAAACTTCTTCCTCCAGCTTCCTAAGAAGTTGCCCAGTTTCGGGGTTGGTGCGCAGCACCAACATGTCATATGCCATCCACATGACCTGGACTAAAGGAAGGAGCTGGTTACTGGGCTGGGCCATCCTCTCCCTGCCTCTCAAAAGCATTAAAATCATCACTTCAATCCCAGAGTATGTTTTATTATCATATACATAATTATAATTTACATTATTATATATTATAATATAGTGTAATGTGTATGTATTACACTAATATAAAAATAATGCTGTCCTCGCTGCATTAGATGATGTATTCTACAATATGGCAATCGATTACAAAAAACGCAGAATACCCCAACTTGTCAGTGCAGTTTTCTAGATCTACCTGACATATTTTCCACTTTTTCTAACAGATTCTGCAAATCATTGCTCAATCGCTCCATTTCTTGGACTTGACGCTGTCTGTCCTTTGATATTATCGTCCGTCTAAAACCCACAACCACAAACGACGCTGGTCAAAATTGAAACACATACAAATACACAGAATAATTAAGGCACCCAGTTGTATCGTTTTCCTAGTTAACCACTTAATATCTAGCCTGACGTCGCCTCCTTTTAAGAACGACGGTGGCAAGGTAATAGAGCGATAATATTTAAAGTTGTTTACTAGTTATGTCGTACAAATAATCACGATTTTGGGGTAAAAATGTGTATTTATAGGTAATTTAGGCCGGTGTTATTACTTTCATAGAGGTGCTCACAGCTGCCACCGTATACCCTCCTGTGTCGTCCTTCAACCGAAACTGCACGCGCCAAGGCTGGGAGGCGGGCTCTGGCGGTGAGGTCATGCTCGTTCGCGCCCGAAACCCTACTGTCTGTGATTGGCTTGTAAAGCAGCGCGCGCCCGCTGTGTGACCTATTATCCGCCCAGCGGCGCTATAGTACCCGGCATCTTTTGAGGATTGAGACATGTGCTAGGGCTGCAGTTTTTATACTTGAGAGAGTTGGCGCGGTTTGATATGTTACCAAAAATGAAAATAAAACCTTTAAGACTCATGTCCCAAAGTATCGACGAGTAATTAGACAAGGGTAACCTGATTTAAAAATGTGGCAAACGACAATGTTATACACTGATTATGGCAATTGAAGAAAATGTACAAAAAAGATTTCATATTCCGACTGATGTACATGATACGTGTATATATGCATACACAACTAAAAAAATTTAAAAAATGCTCGATTTAACCTTAACCTTAACTGAAAACGCTTCTTGGACACACAACTACACACAGACAAACAGGACCATTTGGGCTGGCAATATCATTTACATACAGGAAAACACTGACTAATTATATATATATGTATATAATTACATGATACCTGGAAAAACATATACTGATGACAAGTACCTGAGTACTCTAAATAGTAAAGTTACGAATACCAACGTTTTTATTTAACTCGTTATGCTACGTGTATGACAGCTGTAGACGGGGGAAGTTCTGTGTGAATAACTTTACATAGGAAAGGAAGAATTTTATTTTAATTTATTTAAAATTATATATACATATATAATTTTAGGCCTATATATTATATATATATATATATAAATAATTATATATGTATATATAATTTTAAATAAATTAAAATAAAATTCTTCCTTTTCAAACACAGAAATGAAAACTGCAGAAGTATTACAGCCACTTCAAATATACGATAATCTGAATTATATTCGAAGAATAAGTATAGATTATTACTACAAATACAACCATATACATTAAAAAGCTACAAAATATTTCACCAAAGTCTATAGCATTAATGTCACTGTATCGAAATAATCATGTAATTTAAACATTTATTCTAATTTACTTTCCAGTGTTTTTTGTCATGTAACCAAACTAATTCGTGTTAGCATATTGGTTAAAAAGTAGACCAAGGCCATTTATTTAAAAAATGTAGTGATCAGTTGTTAAGAAATCTGACACATTTGATCAGGTGAATAAGATTAATAAATGAATACAATCCAGCTCCGAATAACGTTTTAATTACAAAGCTGTGATAAAATGTGACATTTACAGTACACAAGTGAACATGTGAATTGAACATGTGAATTTATGAGAAACGAGGAGCAATTTTAATTCTTGATTCATTGCTAAGGTTCATACATTCATGAAGATATTACTTATTACTTACTGGAATTAAATTAATGGGTTAAATCCACCTTAAATCTGGATTTTATCAAATAATGGCAGAAAAATTATTAGCTGACACTTCAACAGACATGTTTTCCATTTTTATTTATAGAACAATTACAGTAATACTGTGGAAATTTTTCCTTTCTTCCTGTTTTCTTGTGTTTCAAAGCCTTGCAGAAACTTTCTGGCATACAAAAACATGGAAAGTAGATGCTGTGACACACACCAACATCAGCCAATCAGAGGAGGCCTGGGTGTATAAAAGGCCCAGGTAAGACAGGTAACAGATTGTGACAGAGCTGATATTTCTACTTGTCTGGACAGAGTGCAAGTCTATTTGACTGGGAGAGGGAGAGCCACAGAAGCAGACTGTTTCCAGGAACCAGAGACACAGAGAAGGAGACAGGTGTAACGACTAGAGAAAGAGAAGAAGCTTTGAAGGCAAGCATGACATCATTTGAGTCACAGGGCCAGTCACCTCCTCGGTGTGGTCCCCAGTTCCCCAACCTGGGGCAGGAACCTCCAGAACTCGGCTTGTACAGCGACAGCTATTACGCTCCGCCCTCGCTGCCCAGTCCGCAACGGACTACCCCGGCATCCTATGAACTGGGAGAATATGCCAGCGCCTCCCCAAATCCATATCTGTGGTTCAATAGCTCGGGGATCAACAGCTCACCATATCTGGGGGGTGGCCCTGCTACTGCGGGGCCTCCATTTGTCCCCCAGCATTACGGCATGCAGAGGCCCTACCTGGGCGCTGGCGGGACAGGTGGAGTTCCAGGGGAGCTGAATTGGTTCTCCCTACCCTCCCAGGAGGACCTGATGAAGCTGGTCAGGCCGCCATATTCCTACTCTGCTCTCATTGCGATGGCCATCCACGGTGCCCCTGAACGTCGACTCACACTTAGTCAGATCTACCAGTACGTCGCTGACAATTTCCCCTTCTACAACAAGAGCAAGGCCGGCTGGCAGAACTCCATCCGGCACAACCTGTCCCTCAACGACTGCTTCAAGAAGGTTCCTCGGGACGAGGATGACCCTGGTAAGCAAATTATTCCTACTTTTGCCCTTCCCTGATCCAGACAGGTTTTCTTCATGAGCTTGACCCAGTAGAATATCATAGTTTAGGTGAATAGCTCTACTATTTTATGAAAGATGAAAGCACACATATTTTCTAACTTGTGGATTCCGTTTCTATATATTGTTTATGCATAGTATAGTCTATAATCTTTCCACTCTATTTAAGACAAATTCTTATTGGTGGTCCTCAATGTCTTTTTTAAGGCAAGGGTAACTACTGGACCCTCGACCCCAACTGTGAGAAAATGTTCGACAACGGCAATTTCCGCCGTAAGAGAAAGAGAAAGTCTGACTCCCTGGTAGGAGATGGAGCGCGAGGGGGGGTTCTGAGCTCCGAGTCAGGGGATGGCAGCGGGGCAGGCAGCCCCAAAAACTCCAGCAGTGTGCCTGACATCTCCAGCACACCAGAAAGAGTCCCTACGCCCACCTCGAGCGGGCCTGCTCCTTGCCTCAGCAGCTTCCTCTCTGAGATGTCTGGGGTGACGGCGGGGCCCCTGGCGGTAGGAGAGGACTCCCTGACCCGTGCCATGTCACTGAACCTGCCTGGGGATGGAACCTCAAGGGCCACGTCCACCCCAGGTTTTGGTGCCTACTCCCCTAACTCCACGATGCCAGAGTGGGCCACCCCTCTGCCCCCGGTGTCGGCTCTCTCCTCCTCACCTTCCCCTTCATCTCTCGGCTACAGCGGGTCCATGCTTAGCCAGTTTAACAACCACTTCTACCCAAGCCTGGGCTCAACTGGGATGACCTACACCCGGGAGGGCACTGAGGTGTAAAGACTTGCAGCCAGGTGACATGTCACCTGCCAGTAAGGCCATGACGTCTCTCCTTCCCCGAAGCGCAGCCGCCGTCCGAAGCGAAGGGCCAGTGCTCCTGTTCCCAGCTGGGCGGCTTGCCCGTGGGACAGTGAGAACTGGCTCCCACAGGAACTCCTGAGTCAGCAGGCAGCAGAAGAGGGCAGACAGTCCCACGCCCCACCGCCTGCCTCAGCATCAGCTCTCACATCTGTGAACTGATCTCATATCAGCTCTGCTGCTGACACCAGCTTTCATACAAACAGCCCAACTGTCTGTCCTGATATTATCGCCTACAGCCTGATGCAGACATTCAGGCAGGACACTCGACACCCATTTTTTTCCATCTTGGGATAACTGCGGACAGGCAAAGAAACAATAATACTCTGTCACTGGCCTCTTGTTAAAGAATGACAATATGACATATTTATGTATTATGCCTGTAATATTTATGTATTATGCCTGTAATATATGTTGTGCAGTCTTGTATGTTTACCATTAGTAGCAGTCATTTGGGTCAGCATTAGTGGTCATGTGCATAGAGATACATACATCTGTGGAGTGTCTTGTGGTTCTGTAAACAAGGGCCTTAATGTGGTTTTAAAGCAAATAAACATATATTACGATGAAAAATGTGTGAATATCGATACTGAAAAAGAAAACACTTTGATGTTTTATTCACCATCACAACAACTTTTACCTGTGCTCAAAGAAAATTGTGTCTCATCACTAACTTAATGTAGTTAAAATATTGACATTTTAAAAGGAGGTATAGCATATAAAGGGGATTCACTCAGTACTGACACACACCTCTGTATGTACCCTAAATGTGACAGGGCAAATGGTCAAAGCTAAGGCTCTTTGACATGATAAAAATACATATTTAACACATTATTCAAATCATCAAAATATTATTTAGACTTTTATTTGTCTAGTCAACTCAAAGAATTCTAAATTCTACAGAGAAAGCTCTTAATGTTTCCAGAATGGACAGTATTGTATTGACATGACGTTGACAGCTAGCAGAAAGGCACTTCCTTGCCTACAGTTCAGTTTCTAGTTAATGAAAACATTACAATAGATGTAGCTGTAATCTGTCACAGGGAGCCATGGACCATGGCAAGAGCCAAGGAACGTAGGACTTAATCATTATCATTAAAGGCTGCCTGTGCCAAGTCCCAAAAGGAGCAACTGTTGTACCCTAGAGCGACGTACAAATTCTAAATTACTTTAGTAAATATTTCAAGCTGGATAATCATGCCCTTTGGGTTCTTGAGTTTATTTTCCATATATGTTACTATGTTGACGTTTGAGATGTTTAGTTATGTAAGTCATTTGCCTAAAGGATATTTGATTTTGAAGCCGCATGGCTGGATAACCTGATTACGGTCAAATAAATACGCGCAAACGAGTACACATGTACTTTTACAAAGGTAAAAGCAAATCAGAAATAGTTAAGAATGCCATGCTCTTTAATTATTAAATAAATTGTTGCAAGAAGTCCCAACCGGATTCAGTTGGGTAATGCCAGCAGAGATATACACGGTCGGGGCCAGGAATTGGAACGGGAGAGAAAGAAACCGTTAAACACAGAAAAAAACAACAGGTTTGACGGAAAAAAATATGAACGCTGAAGAAACGGAACCCGTTCATCCAGCTTCCCCTATCCTGCTAGTCACCTTCACCCACTGGCTCTCAGGCTCTCTACCAGGTGCTCCTCTTATAACTCTTTTTAACAATGTTTATTTTTGGTGCCATGTCAACTTTTCAGGACACTAATGAACGCAAGATCGAGCCTGTGGATAAAAAGAAGAGAAGACGGACTGATGAAAGGTGAGAGCGTATATATAGAACACCTCCCATCCGCGGTGTAATTTGAAACGGCGCAATGCCGTGATTGATGTTTAACTGATTCCTGAACACAGTGTGAGAATCGCCATAGCCCTTCTCTTCTCACACCCCTCGGTGAGCCTCCGGTCGCTGACTGGGCGAAGGCGGCCAGAGGACAGATAGGGGCAGAGTGCTTGCGAGGGGGACACACAATCTTCCCATGTGTCCCACAGAGGACAGCCGCAATCAGGGGAAACAAAGCAGCGTGACACAGTGTCATGTCAGCTCCAGGTTCACGCTCAGTGGAAACATGCCAGTCTCTGTGTCCCATCTTACATCTTCAAGACCTTCAAGAACACACTAACTCACAAGCCGACATCCTCAGCTGCAGATGACGAGGCAGGGCTGCCTCATTTGGAATGGTGTCTGTAAATTACTGTCAAAGAAGCCTCACTGCCAATATATAACTACTTTTATACTATAAAATATATAATATACTAATTAGGTAAAAAAAATAATAGTAATAAATTAACAAGATTAAAATATAAGACTAACAAAATAGATTTTTTATTTCTGTTTATTATAAATAATGATGGTCAAAAAAATTACAACACATTCAGAAAAACTACCTCACAGAAGGATGCTGAAAATCTGAGCTTCACCTAAGGACATTGTGATAAACATGGATCACAGAGAGGTTCTTTTAGCCAGGCTGCCCTTAGAGGTTGTGGGCCCTATGACAACATCTCATATTGGGCCCCAACCAATACATTTCTGATATTTTAGGCCCCCTGTCACTCAGGGGCCCTTGGAATTGTTCTAACTTCCCCCCTTTATGGTACCCCTGCTTCAAGCAATCAACAAAAGCCCACCTAATATAGCTTCCAGGTTCATGAGGAGTTGTAAAGTACAGCATGCAAACCCACTGGCTTTAGCCTTGGGGGAGACATGGGGAAAAGGCTGAATGACTTCCCCTGTGTGATCAACAGAACCCAAGGTAATAAAGGTCCCAAATGAAGCAGTCGCACTTTCATGCTATGCAAATTTCAGGTGCTGTGGATCCTTTGTTGTTTTGGTGTGAGTACTGGGGGGGAGGGGGGTAGTTTAAGGGGGGTGCCCTTCAGGGCCGAAAGGCTGAAATGGACGTCCATTTACTTTTCTAGTAGATACCTGGTTGGGCATGACGGCTAATTTTAACCGTTTGATCAGCTACCAATTTGTAACGTAATCTGCGACAACTATCTTGCACAAATGTTTAATGTAATAACTTATTGTGTCAAGTTAACATAAGGGGACATTGACTTATTTTAAATAACCGTCTTTTTAATGTACAATGTGGCAGACATCTTCTTGGAGAAACACTTTTTGTCTTTTATGTTAGGTGCCACATAAACTATGTTTATTTCTTTAATGTTTTTGGCTTAAAAGAATTTGAACATGATTTCTTTCAAGAATGTATAATAAGTACTCTCATAATCTCCTTACACATTGCCATAAAGTAAAAAGGAATACATTATGAGTATTATGCATGTTCATTTGTGTTTTAAATTTATATAGATAATGGCTATATCATTTTTTTGCTTTCGATTTTTTGTTCATTTTGTGAAAGATGTTTTACATAACTTAGTTTGTTATGTGTACGTCGTATCTGTCACACACAAGGAGATATCTATGTCTTATTTTTTAGCATATGTGAGGTTAGAAAGCCATTTAATCATCCAAGAATATGTCATGTTTGAATCTATTTTGTTTCAGTAAATCTACTGTTCTGCAATAGATGTGAAAGATAAACTGGTTTTGATTCCTCTTTGAAATTGGGTGGAACATGACAATAGTATTTCAGATGCTCGATTACAGGTGAGTATGTAAGGTCATCTCGCTTAGTAGGAATGACTCTCTGCCTAAATGATGGTAGAGAGGGTTCTGTGCATGCAAGTTCATGCTCATAAAGCTGGATATGCTGAAGTAATTGTTTTTTTGTAGTTTTTTTCTTTGCTTTCTTCAAAGGGGTCAACGGCTAGTCTGGCTGAGTCATCAAAACCAGAGAATGGGAGCTTATCTGATTGCTGTAATCTCTGGCTGCCCTGTTGCAACAGCTAACTCAGTTAAAGTTGCCCATCCAAGTAATGAACGCAGCACCGAAGTTTATTGCTAACTGCCTATGGATGTGACTATCAACATTAAACATTTTTTTTCTATATGTCCTCACAGAGACCAGCATCCTCACTTATCTTTCCTGGTGAAGGACGTGCACTTTGGGGTGCACATGGATGCAAAATAAATGGCAAAAAATACAAGACATTTTCACTTATCTTTCATAGGGCAAGCATGACATCATTTGAGACAAAGGGCCAGTCACCTCCTAGGTGGACATTCTTCCCGGACTCTGTAAATTAACCCCATGCCCTTCAGCCTTAGCAAGGCACCAAAGGCCTTTCATTGGGTCACTGAGCCGATTCTCAGGGCTCAGATTTTAAACGGATGTGCATGATTCTTCTGATAGTGTTTCCGTCCCATTTCAAACAATGTTTTGTCTTCTCTGATGAGTTTTTGCAGCTTCAGGCTTTTGAACTTATTAGTGATTGTGTCGAATCCTGCTATGAAAAGAATTTGAATTTAACAAGCAGACATGATGTGCAAATACCTTTTCAAGACTGTTAGGCTACGCTGTGATGCCTTTAGGCCCAGATGGGAATTGTATTATGTAAAGATATATCCACTAGTGGATTCAAGACACCAGACAATATCCAGATATTATGTGACAAATTAAGAATACTGGAAGGACTGTAAATGAATAAATGAGCAATTAATCAAGGTATTTAGATAGATCTGCCTGTAGCTCATTTCAGTCAGTATGTTGACATGCACAGCTAAGTTGAGGTATGGTTATAGCTCGACTATGCCACTTAATCGTACTGCTGTCCTTCTCCCAGTGTTCATGCATGGGAGGGGAATCGATTTATTGACCAAAGGACGTCCAACTCTGCTACAGTAGGTGGCAATATGGCTCCTTTGCGCTTGTTAGTATTGGGCTTTTCCCGGTGAACCTATTACATCACAGACATTAAAATAAATAAATAAGTAAATAAAAATAATGGGTGTGTGGACACAAGTGAAGTGAGTTTAATTGTGATCTGGTCGGAAGAACAGATTCAACAACATCAGGATAGCATAACAAGAAATATAATATTGTGTATGATATACTATTACAGCATGGTATTGGAAAGTTTTCATATATTGCAATGTAATTGTGTAATAAATATTGGGCATTTATGAAACAAAAAAGGAGCTCAACATAAATCCCTGACAAACCCATCTAGGAGTGATTAACACAGCAATCAAGGATGAAAATGATTATGATTGTCTAGGAGAATGCATGCAGCACTCATGCAAAAGCAAACTTTAAACTGATTTTCAAACATATATTAGATAATCTTGAAAATTAATAGTTGCAAAATTGCAAAACTTGCTAGTTTTTTTTTCCCTATGACAGAGTAAAATGTTTTAGCGAGACTTACCTGCACTATAATAGCCGTAACAAACTGAAGGTAAGAAAAAGCCTGATCTTAATCTAGCTGACCAGTGATGTAACAATTGAATGTGCATAACATGTGATATTGGCATTAATATCGCACAGTGTCCAGTCCTACAACAACCATTCCCCAAAATCAGTACAAAATACCCCGCCTTGCGTAGTGATGTCATTCGGTGCTGCTACAAGTTTTTACGTCACTGGAAAACCAACACCTTGAAGTACCAAAAGTACGGTACCCTGTGTGGTGTAAAAGCGCCCTTTAGTTGAGCGGTGGATTGGACAGCTTTATAGCGCTGTACATTTCGTACGTCCAGTACGTCCTCTGCTATGCTCCGTGTTTCTTGTGTTGGGCTGTGGAGCATGTGCAGAGCGCATAGGCCAGTTTGAGTCCGATTGAAGGCATATTGTACATGCAGGAGTAAATCAACTCCCAATCGCATTATCTAGATGTCTTAGTCCGACTTGGAGAAATTTGATTTAGTACAATTTCAGTTAGACTAACATGTTTAAATATACTTTAAAAATACGGTTTTAGTCAGACTAACACAACAATTCAATTTTCTTAGTCTGCATGTAAGCGTAGTGTCATTGTTTCCACCCCTTAAACAGTTCATTTGCATAATTGAATACTGAGTTTGTTTATTGTTGTTAACCGTGACAAAAACAGGGGCTCTCGGTCAGGGTTCATCCATCTAGGTCAGTCCCAGCACTGGGCTGCTATAACTGGGGGCTCCTTCATTTGGAATCAGATTTGCATATTTCGTTCAGGGTTAAGGTTCAGCCAGCCATGGTACAGATGTCAGCTCTATCAATGTCACTTAGGAATGTCTCAAAAATGACAGAAATCACAAGGCTCCAAAAAGAAATGCCACTTATGTGGTGCATCGAAAGGAACAGCCACAGCCTTCCTGTTTCCACTTTAATTCACTTAATTCAATGGTGTATTTTCAAAATGCGACATGCAATTTTGTGATACATAGTATCACAATTTGATATTATTGTCTTGTCTTTTTACAGGGTCATTTGCCATACCCTAAGGCAATTATTTACCCCTAAACAGAGGCAGCATGACAACCATGTACTCCCAACAGAAAATAGAGGAAATGGAAAGAAAAAAAAAAAACGGTACCTCTTGGCTTGTCTTTCCTTGCAGTGTGGTCCTTGCTGCAGTAAGCATCAAAGTGGCGAAAAGAGGAATAGAGACCACGTGGGGAAAAGCAGTTTGGTCACACCGTAATGTGGGTGCCCCTCTGCTTCCCGGAGTGTGTGTGTGTGTGTGTTTGCAAATACATGGCATTCTTTATGAGAGTTTTGGAACAGATCCTTCTGGTGGGGAAGCCCTACTTTGAATTTATGTAATATAATAAATGAAACGTGATAACAGAAAGGCGGGAGATCACTGCGATCTGCAGTGTAAATGTGAGAACAAGCAATGCTAGAATAACAAGCCAGTACGATAAGGCCGTTTTAACATCTCTGTATAGCATGTCAGCATGTCACTTTGGTGTGATACCATTTGTGTCATTATGCGTATGATACCCTACCTGCCAGTAGACGCCTTAGTCCTTCCACTCTCAAATAGCTGGCAGCGTAACTTACACCTGTGCTGTGACTTTTTAATGAAAATTAATCCCTCTTAAACTGTAAACTCTCAAAAAAGGCTTTGACGGCTTTAAAGAAAACTGACAAATTACACTAAGTCCCAAAACTCTGACAGCGCTAGACGGGCCTCTTAACGTCTGACTGTCTGCCTGTGATCAGGGTGTCTCACAGAAAGGGGGGTGTTCTTACAAAGGGACTTTTTCCCCTCTTCTTTCTCTGTCCAGATCCCCAAAATTACAATGGCATTTGCATAACAGCCTGTGTCCTTGTCATCTAAAAATGGAAACTGAAAACAATCACCTGAATACAAACTCCTGGTGAGTTATTATTGGCCTGCAAAGGCATTTCTGGGTTTTGTGTGGCCAGATTGCACATATTTGTAAAATATGAATTTGTTTTTGCCTTTTTTAGTTTGACCACATCCATCTCTGCCCCATAAGGTTTAATTTACCTAATAATGATCCCCTGAAGCAGCAGAGAGAAACAAGCATTTCTGCATTGCTCTGTAAATCCCTGAGGAGCCGTAATCGGCCCTCTGTGTAACATGCGTGGCGACAGCAACCCGTTAACAGTTGACATTTTGCCCCGATAAGGCTGGCATCGGCCGGATTCAACTGCTCAGTTCCAGCTTGAAAAGGAATTGGGGGACCTCCCAACGGACTGGGGCATGCGGGGGGCACAGCAAACAGCCTCAGCCACCGAAGCCTTTCCGCATTTAGCAAACACTTTAAACAGTGTTTACATTTTTAACCATACAAATTTATAATTCGAGATGTGATTTATGGAGGCCAGTTTAGTTAAATGTCTTGACTGAGAGTACAAACAATGCAGCCTATTGGATGAGATGGCAACTTATTAGTTAGATGGTGATCCTGCCAGCCAATGACAGAGCATGTTTGACACTGGCAACAGGAACAGTTCCTGGTTTGCAAAAAATGGTTAACCTTGTTCTCAGTCCAACAAACTCAATCTTTAATTAAAGGAACACCCTGCTGCAGGGGATTTTTAAAGATAAAATCCAAAACGTGCAGCTATGCAAAGCAAAATTAACTTTTTCATTGCATCTTTACCACTAGGACTGATCTGTAATTTCTCAGTAATTTTCCAGGAGAAAAAAACACATCAATACACATATGACACCTATACAGACAGACACTACTGACATGATTTACATGTGAACACCTGGGAATGAGGAAGGGGGGGCGGGGGGTAGGCTTAGCATTATTGTAACAAATGTATTCAAATAAATTTTAAACGTTTAATTTTTATGTCATTCACTGAAACTGTCTTGGCAATATTTCTTCGTTGTCCTGCCAATACTGCTTTCCAACTTCGAGGGCGGCATTGTCCCTGCACAGCAAACGTGCCTGGGGAACTGCCAAGGCGGTCTGAGAGGCGAGTGAGGGTACTAAACTGAGGGATGGCACTAAAGATGAGGGCAATCGTCCCGTGAGGGACAGAAACGTGGAGACAAAGGGAGGCGGGGCGCTGTGTCCCTGTCCTTCCCCTTTTCGCCACAGTCCTCTCCCAGACCTTGCACCAAGAACAGACATCCTGTTCCAACCTGCTCCACGGTCCCCCGGACCCCCCTATACCCAGCTCACCGCCCCTATCTCCCTCCCGCCTCACAAGGATCCATTCAGCAGGGCCAGGGCGCGGGGGGCGGGCTTGGAGAACCGGATTAAACACATAAACATGGGGCTGAGCGGGGGGGCGTGGTCATGTGGTGCCACTGAGCTCCCCGATGCAGGCGTCCTGAGCGAGGATTAGGTTACTGTCGGAGCACCGGATCCAAGCAAACATAGATTGTGCTGATAAACCACCCCCCCACCCCAGCACCACTGAACACCATGCAGCCAAAGACAAAGAGACGTACATTTACTAATGAAACAGCTGAAAGTCGCCCCGTCTCCCCCTGCTTCTGAAGCAGCTGTGTGAATTAGCCTCAGCTCAAAATTTACGGCTCCTTGGCATTCGTATTTTTAATTTAGTTTTATTTTTTGTTGTAAATAATTCCTTCCTGCTTTTGCTATAAGAGAAACGAAATTATCCCAGAGATGCATTGTGGGATACGAATGGACTGTGTGCAGTGCACATCAGGGAATGGTGAAAATTATTAGAGGTCATGGCCCAGTCCATTTTTCTAGTTGTGCATTCGTGTTAAGGCCCTTTGGACTAAACAAACAAACACACAGAGCTTTTTTAGCTGAAGGGTTAGTGGTGTTGGAATCTAGGCTCCCAGCCAAAGAAAAGTATCACAGGCATTTCCTGACAGAAGCGAGTAATGCATCCCACAAGCCCTTACGTAAGTCACGGTGTACGTATGTCTGATTTACCTTCCCATACCAGTCAAGACACCTTATAGCAAAAAATACACCAGCCAAAAATATACTGTAATAGCAATATATACTAAAGAACACATATAAAATAAATGGAAAAAATGAACTTACAGGTGCCTATTGTATTAGCAATTTTGTAAACTCTATGTGTGTCTGATATTTTTTACATAAGTCTGGATTTACTTTCGTCAGTTTTATGTCGAAGCGCTGCCTGTCGTCTTCCTTCGTAAGATACCTTGATTCATTAAAAAAATACAGATTGGCATGAAATGCCAGATAAAACATGACATGAATAAAACGACCATCCCCTTGAATAATACAGCCCTGCATTTACCTGGCTATTCTTTCTCTTTGAACAAACAAAGATCATAGTTACCACTTAGTACAAGAGGTCAAATACTTAAATACAGCAGAACACAATATACTCACAATATTGTTGAGGTACTATTGTTAGCTTTGTAATTGGATGAAGGGCATGAAGCCATGTGAAAGTGATTTTTAACGGCGAACACTAAGATAAGTGACAGTGGCCATCACACCTACAGGAACTTCTATGACATCCCATAGCCATCAATAAGGAGCCCCCCCCCCCCCTTTGGAGCTATAACAGCTGCCACTCTTCTGGGAAGGCTCTCCACAGCTTTATGGAGTGTGTCTGTGGGAATTCTCGCCCATTCATCCAGAAGAGCATTTGTGAGGTTGGGCACTGATGTTGGACATGAAGGTCTGGCTCACAATATCTGTTCTAGTTCTCCCCAATGGTGTTAGATGGGGTTGAGGTCAGGGCTCTGTGCGGCCCAGTCAAGTTCTTGAATAGCAGACTCACCCCACCATGTTGCACCCCACTGTCTGCATATCTCTCAACTTCCAAAACTATACATTTCCACTTATGATTGGAGGATCTGCTACACAAACATAACACAGAATTTTACTGGGAGCAATTTGGACAGCAGCTACTACAGATAGGAAATCAGCTTCAATTGAACAAACATCTTTGATTAGTCCAACACTTAATAGGCCGTGGGCTGCTTAAGGTAATTTGGGTCTCAGCTAATGAAGGTTCCAAACAGATCCATACACACGTGGGGCTGAAATAACCGGCCTGACTGGACCTCCAAGCGGCACCTGTTAGAGCCGGAGCTTAGGGCTTCATCACGGGATTTTAAAATCCCCCAGGGGGCCACAGCCTGCCGTGCCTTTGGCCAGATGCAGGCACTGCAGCCACTCATGCCTGTCCTTATAAATGAGAGCTGTAAGGTACTGGATTGGGTTCAGAATACCCCACCTCCCCCACACACACCCCCCGCTAGGAGAATATTAAGCAAACTGAAGTGTGCGCTGTTGGAAGTGACGTGAGTTTATGGAGTGCGAGCTTTCCCGGCCAGAGTGATGACAGGACGTGCCCTTACCTGCCTGGGGGTGAGCATGCGGCAGCAGGGGAGGGAGCAGGGATATCTTGGGGCCGCTGGGCTGCTGCACTGAGGCCCCCAGCACCTGCCCATTACAGACACACGTGTCTCCATAACTACCCACAAAGAGCCATGACTTCACATCCCACTCCACTGCATGGCCAATATGTTCCTTTTCTGTTCTGTTTTTATTAAACAAGATTTTAATCTGTGTATTTATCACCTGTCAGGTTTACTCTAACAGCAGGAGTGATTAATCATTTTACATAAAAAAAACTTCCCAAAAGAAAATGATGATTGTACGTACTAAAGGAAGAAACAAAAGCAAATTCCCAATTTCAGTAAATTACCCAGCAATAAAAATTATGGTTTAAAAATGTATTCTTTTATTGAAACAATCACTCTTTTCTGTTTTTTACTGTAAAAATTTTCTTTGCATGAAAAAAACCATATCTCCCTCCCCGCAGCTTTAAGCTTAGCACCCGAGAGCCGTCACAGTTCATTCGCTCAGAATTTAATGAGATGTTATAACTGCATTTTTTTACAGATATCTCTCTATCTATTGACACCATAGTCATCAGACAGTTTCTTTCTGGATGTGAATTTCATCACTGCATTATAGCATTGATGAAATTTCCCAGGAGACCAAAATATAAAACTACCAGACCGAGAAGCATTAAATTGCTCATCAAGATTTCTTGTAAATAGCATGTTTTTAGAAAGACATTTATGACTTCGTCAAGGCAGCCGGGTGCCGTATCTCAAACTGTGTATATTACTAACCTCAGGCTGAGAATTATTACTCAACAGTGTGTAACTAAATTCAATAAATCTATAATCACACCTGTTCTTGTTCGCAATGAGACATATAAGCACTTGTCAAACAAACAGACCACATTGGAATTGAGGAAAAAGTGCAAGATTACTAGACAGAGAGTGAGATATGGAAAGAAAGTGACAGGTTGCTGTGGAGAGAGGTGGAGGGGGGGCTTGGGTTAGGAGCATAAGCTGTGTCGTCTGCACTGTGCAGACATTCAGCAACCTTCTGACAATATGGACAATATACGATTCAGCTGGTATGTAATGGGAAAAATCACATTATTTCCATGTCATACTTTTTAAATGAATTTAAGCTTATTAACACTGTCCTTTAAGCAAAATACCAGTATACATGAAATCCAGTCAAACATTTTTATAAGTTTGATAAGTTTATAAGTCCCCTCACATGTCCTTAGCACGCTCTACCCCCTGTCTCCTCACATGCCCCTTAGCACGCTCTACTCAGCTTCGTTGCTTTGGCTCATCTCAAGTCATGTAATATAAAGTCGTGATGGTCAGTATGATAACATTAGCAGGTGCAGGCTGGGATGGGGTGGGGGCACAAGCCCTGGGACAGTGTAGCCTGGGGGTGGCAGACATTAGGCTATGGATCAATGTTGGTGAGAGTGAAATACTCAACTACAGATCAATTTGCCTCTAAAACACTAAGTCAGAAGTAGCGAATCCAGCTTGTGGCGGATCAGCTGACCGTTTTACCATCGTACTGTAACTTAATGCGAAAGGCCAATTTCAGTGCTCTGGGGAAAACAAAAAGTTGTAAAAATCAAGAAAAATTACATCATAGTTGATTATGCGTGCTGAGAGGTGCAGTAACGATCACAACATGCGCAAAGCAGTCCAGCCACTGAGCCATGTTGCAAATATTAAGTTTTAAACGGGCCGTTTGTTCGTGCATCTGCCACAATGCCTTTCCAGGACCCAACAGACTGAAATCTAAACAGTCCATGTACTGCTGTAACAAATGTGATTATTACAAAATAGTGACATGTGAGGCATTGGGAAGACGGCAGAGGGAGTAAGACATGTGGTTTGAGCTTTGAATCAAACCGAGTTAAATATCCACATGCAGACAGCAGGGATGCCAGGCTGCTACAGGGGGCAATGAGTCCCAGAATGAGGAGATGATGCAATATTACCGATGATACAGAAACATATGAGCAAACAGGTACCTGATACTGTAGCTTTATTACTGTGAGCTACGCAGCATAGAACGCTAAAGCCGTGGGACTTTCTGAAATACAGAATAATAAAGTTTATCTGTCTTAAACACTAAAGTTTAATGTATAAATGAATGTGTAGCATAACATGGTTTGGTTTGGAATATTTCAGTTTGAGGGAGACAAAAAGAAAAAAATCTGGGTATTAAAGAAGGTTAGGGAACAGCTTTGGGTTTGGGGAGAGCAGAGGAAACCGTGCATGTCTGGGGTGGCAGCCCCCAGGGAGTAACGGTGGACGGGCAGCGCGTGCAGTGGCGAGGGGAGTGTGTGGTGTGTGTGTGTGCATTGGGGGGGGGCGGCAGCAGGTACAGTGTTGACATAGCAAACACCAATACAGACAGCGCCAACCCCAAACACTCAGTCAAGCAAAGAGATGGAGGCACAGATGGAGAGTCAATAGAGTAGAGAAATATCTCACAGGTATAAGAGAGGTGGTTCACTATACTCTGATTCACTCATCCATCCATTTTCACAGACGGCTCCGACTGTTAAGGAGCTTGTAACAGGCAGCTGAGGGCAAAGGCTGGTCACACGCCTGTCCCTTTCAGGGGACCACAGAACATCACTGCAGGAAAAGCTGAAATAGCCTATAAAACCATTTCAAAGGTTTTCTATAAATTAAAAGTAAACACAGTCTAAATCACTTACCAGTTTTTTATGCTCACATGTTTTCTGTGGAAGAAAAGACAACAGAAAATGAGAGAAATATTAAAACTAGAAAGTGAGAGACTGAGGAGGAGAGAAAGAGAGAGACAGACAGAGAGACAAGAGACAGAGAGAGGGGCAGACCTTCCTTTGGGTGTCTAAGCTTCTCCCATTTTAAATAATAACATTTCAATCATCTCTATCACGCAAATATGGCTGGTTCACAGTGATAATCTCCGTCTCTCTTTTTTTTCTAAGTTACCGGATGGAAATCTTAATACAGCTGCTGGAGTGGGTGGGGGGGTTTAAAGGAGAAATAAATAGTGTCTGCAGACAGATATATAAGATAAATATTTAACTTCATCCTAATGTTTCCTGTATTTCTCAGTCTGCAGGGACAGGATGGGGACAGGAGTGGGGGAGGCAGGAGTGGGGAAAGAAGTGGGAATGGGGGGGACAGGAGTGGGAATTAGGGGGG